TCGGCATTGCTAGCACTTGTTTAGCCATCTTTGATAAAACCAGAAACGTTCTTTCATTTTCCTTCCACCACTTAAGAACGTCAAAGTCATCCCCAACTTCATAATCAACATTCAATGTTAGATACAAAGAAAGCTCATTAACTGAGCTTTGTTCATTAGCGGGAGTTGCTTTACTTTTTTTCGAAAGAGAACCAAATGCATATTTTTAAAGTGACTAGTATTTCCACCCGTGCGTTGCACGGGATGAAAATATAGTATATTTTTGGGGCTTCAGACCATTTAAATTTCATGCTTTGGAGTAAAGCCAAGAACATAAAATGAGTATGTGGATGATTACATGTAATCTCTAAAAGATTTATAGGCCTCTCCATGAATAAATTAACTGCATTATTTATATAAATTAATCATATTTTTCTTGTTTTTATTTATGCATTGTTTGCAAAATACTCTTGTATTACAGATATATATGGCAAATAAAGAACAATCTTATTTTTTTTAAGTAACCCCATATCACTCCGTTAAAAAAAAGTAACCCCATATCACTTAAAAAAGATATGTTTCAGTTTACGAAGCTAATTGACGATAAAGTTAACTGGTTAGTGTGAAACTCATACTATTTCTTTAAAGTTGGAACAATTTGATTTTCACGTTTGCTAATTCACAACTTTGACTGTAATTATATTTAATTACATTTTACTCCCTCCGTCCCGCTATGATTGTCTCATACTCCCATTTTACCTTTTTGGTTCATCCCACTAAGATTGTCTCATACTTTTGTAAAGTTTGTGTGGTTGTAAATCATTTCTACTTTATTCTTACTTTATCAATTCAATATCAAACACATAAATCCACTTTTATTAATAACTGTGCCACATTCTCTTGTCCCAAACTTAGGGGGGCGAAGGTAGTAGTAGTAGTAAACATTAAAAAAAGTTGATATTTTAAAAGTTTACATCAATAGAAATTTAATAACATTTTATACATAATAATTTGATTATATATACTATTAGAAAATCGTAGTCAAAGTAAGATTGTGAATAGTTCGAAAATCCTAATGTCACAAATTTTAAGAAACGGAGGAAGTATTAGTTTTAGCAAATGGAATTTACATATTTTTTTTCCCAATATTTCTTAATTCTTGCGATGAATACCTCCTTTTCAATACAAAGAGTAAATACAAAATAATAGAACCCTAATACAATCAGATGTTGAAAGTAATAAGAAATGCAATAGAATGTGAACAAAATAAAAAAGAGCATTAATTGGGAAATACACGAAATACTGAATTGAGTACTGGTGTTAAACCCATTAATTAAAACAGAAAACAGAATTTTTAGACAACCTTGTTCTCTAAATTATTTGAACTATACAAATCTGAGTTGATTATACTCCATATAATGTTTTTGACAAACCATAATTATTGAATTTGAAATCTGAGTTTACAAATATAACTGAATCGATTATATTTACAAAACAAATCTTGAATCGATTCAATTTGTAATGAATGAATAGAACATGCAAAAATCAGGAAAAACTAAAAGCAAAAGCTTGAGCCTCACTGATTTAATTTGTTTGATTGTATTGACTTTAGCTTCATCGGTGTTCCTCAGTCCTAATCAGAATAGTAGTAGATGAGGAGGAAGGATTGTTCTTCATCAGAAAAGAGCAAGGATGGAGAATAAGAAGACCGTCTGAGTTATGGCTGTGTGAACACCATATAATGGAAAGAGTGAATAAATGGAGGAATTGGGATCTGAAATGCATATAATGGTAGAAGAAAAAGTAGGCGAACCGGTGAGCGAATGAAGAAGAGGGACTGAAATGCATCTGGGAAAAGGGCGTCGACGTGTCAAAGAGGAAGAAGGTTACTGAACGGTCAATATCATTTCTAAATAAACGGTGCAGATGAATTTGTATCGCTATTAAGTATAAAGGATTATTTATGCATTGTTCGCAAAATACTTAAAAAAAAAATGAAGAACAATCTTATTTTTTCTAAGTAACCCCATATCACTCCGTTAAAAAAAAGTAACCCCATATCACTTAAAAAAGATATGTTTCAGTTTACGAAGCTAATTGACGATAAAGTTAACTGGTTATTGTGAAACTCATATTTGTACATATTTTTATTGTTTATCGTTACTTTGTACTTGTGCAGTCCTATGCGTGTATTTTGTATTTTCAAGTATTTTTGATACTATTTGATACCTTTGTGCGTGAAAAAGAAAATAAAATAAAATTCAAGTGTTGGAGGTCAATTAAAGTGGAATTTCGTTCAAAGCAAATAAGGAGTAAATTGAAGAAATGAGGCAAAGGTGAAAAAGGAAAGACATAGGGTTCAAACCCTGAACACAGGGGAAAAGAAGGCATGCTCAACCAATGAACTATTTCATCAAAATTGGAAATTTTAGCTGGAAATTTGAATACGTTGTTTCTATTGATCTGAAGCAAAGAAAAGAGAGATAAAACAAAGGGGAATTTTGAGTTTGCACCCCAGTTTTTGGGTGATATTGGATTTTGCACCGCATTTTCAAAACTTTTAGACTTTTTAGGGGAAATAGGGTGCAAAGTCTAAAAGTTTTGAAAATGGGGTGCAAAGTTCAATATCACCCAAAAAACGGGGTGCAAAGTCAAAATATTCCTAAAACAAAAGACCGGTTTTGAACCCGCAACCTCTGAAATGCACTTTCAGCCCTGTCAGCACTGCTCTGCTTTGTGTTCTTGAAATGTAAATGCGCTTTCTTATACATAAACTCATCAGTTCCGTAAATTCCAACAATTAATGATTACTCATTTTATCATTATTTTGCCTTAATCCTTCTTCTTAGGGGTGGGCGCGGTCCGGAACGGTCCGGTAAATTAGTAAAACTCGTAATGTATCTGCGAGATTTTTAACGGTCCGGTACGGTTCGGTTTCAAGGATGGAATCGTTCGGTACCATGTCGTTTCGGAACGGTAAATGCCAAACACATGCTAAAAATTTTGATCAAATCTTGCAATTAGTAGATATCATCAAACCAACCAACTCACATGAAATGTTGATATAAATACAAGAAATTGCATATATATGACTAAAATTCACAAATAAACCAATAGAATATATAAATATATAAGAAAGAGTATGGTCAAACGATGACGCACGCTATAAATATCATCCTTAATTTACTTCGTTCATGTGAAAATATAAAAAAGAATATCATCGAATTGTTGAATATAATAGAAATTCTCAACGTTCTTCTTCTTCATTCTAGGTTAAATATTATTCCGTAGTTCTAATTTAATTTATAGTTGAACCTTGAGAGCTAAGACTTAAACCAAATTAATTAAGTTGTAAAATTGCACAAACATGATACAACAAAAAGTCATGTACGCAAATATTACTAGAAATGAAGTCATTAATGATTTATCTAAAATTTGAATATTCTTTCAATACATACCAAAATAAAACATAAATTATCTAAAAAGAAAAAATAACAATATATATTATATATAAACACACACATTTAACTATTTTAAGGATGCATAAATACATACTTGATCTATAAAATTGTTGGTCTATAAAAGAGATCTATTGAATTGGTATAGAAAAATATAAATAATTCAAGTGCATTATTTTCAAATGGTTCAGTCCGGTGTTTTTCGGTTCTCAAAATCTAGGACCGGTCTCGTACCCGTTTCAAACGGTACGGTTTCGGTACGGGACAAAAATATATAGAACCGTTTAAATACCTGGTATTCGATTCGGTACCATTACGGGACGGTTCGGTACCGGTTCGGTTCGGTTGCCCACCCCTACTTCTTCCTACACAGATAAGTTCGAACCATTATCTCTCTACACCTCTCAGAAACATTTCCTCCTCCTTCTCTCTTCATTTCTCAACACCAAATCATATATCAACCCATCTTCAACCACAACTAATCATTTCATTATCCAAGATTAAGTCAAAATTAGCACCAAAGCTCCAAGAATTGTCATCTATCACAAGTTTGATCTTCCTTATCTCATTTAATCTTGTACTTTAATTATGGATTCATCTATTTCTAAGCTTCCCAACATGTATAGCTAAATAAATTTGGGACTAGTAATTGGTTAATTAATTGTTGTTATCATGTTTTAATTTGTATTGATTTTAATTGTTAAGTTTGTTCTATTTAGATTGTTGTGTCCAGAAAATTAATTAAGTTGTGTTTGTGAAAATTAATTAAGTTGTGTTTGTGATATATATTATGAGTACTCAATCATAAACATATTGTTTGTTAAACAAATATTCAGAACACTCAATCATTAAATTTCTTTTACCTTGTCCCGGATTGAAATTTTACGGGAGAATTTAATATTTAATTATATTATTTACACCACGGGATTGGATAAATAATATAGTTAATAATTAAGGTTGTCGTTACACTTAAACAACTAGTCTCGTTTTGGCCATCACTGGGAAATGTTGACTAGTTACTTATTTTAGATGACTTGTGTTGCATCCTAAAATATTTATCTACAACTTCTCACAATCTATCTAAGAATAAAATTAGCAATTATGTCTTTCAAATGAGTATTAAACAACTAGTTACCAATTTCTACCCCTACTTGTTATTGGTTGAACAAAAATTTCTACCCCTACTTGCTATTGGTTGAACTTTTTGTTGATAAAACTCTCTTATTTCAATCACTTTTATTTCATTACTTTTCCAAACAAACATCAAAAGAAACGCATTCTCAACTTTAATCCTTAGTTTGTACTTCATTATTTTATTTCCGATTCGACATCCTACTTCCTTGAGTAAAAACAATAGTTGTGTGCCCAATATATCCAACACACTAACATGTTTTAAGAGGAAAATAGTAAGGTAAATATAAAGTGTGTAAGGTAAATGATAAAGTAGGAAAGACGATATATTAAAAAGAGTAAAGTGATGATAAAGTAGGAAAGATAGTATATTAAGTAGTGTAAAGTGACGATAAAGTAGTAAAGACAAAATAGTTTGTAAAAAGTAAGAGGGGTAAAAGTAATAAACGTGAGGGTATTTTATCAAAAACTTTCCTAAAATAGAAAGGACATTTAATAAGAAACACCTGAGCCGTCATTTGCAGAGTAAAGAACGGAGGGAGTAGAAAACTTTAGTAAATGAAACAACATATAATCAAGTATAAATACAGAGAAGTTTATATTTCGTATTAGAACTCAGCTTAAAGGTATTGTGAATGAGCTGCGGCCACGAGGGCCGCTCCAACACCTGAGCCGTCATTTGCAAGCTCAATTACAAGGTTCTGGTAAGCCTCCCCGAGCAACTCTTGGAGAGTGCTCTCTATACATGTTTTGAACTTTGTGTAGTGCTCAAACAGCCCCCCATCCACTGCAACTACGGACTTGTTCTGGTTAATCTCTCCCGCTTTCAGACCGTCTCTTCCCAACTTCTTGAGGATGCCGAAGATTCCTGCAGCTGAAAGGCGGGCTCCACGGGTTGCAATGATGTCGCACACCTCCACGACTACTTTTCTCATTCTCAGGGAAGATTTAGGTATCTGCATGCAAGCACAAAAGGAATATCCATCTTGCTAGCTATATAAAAGCAATTCTCTCTCACACACACACGACGGGCCAGGCAAGAAACTGGGAGTGTGTCACAGCTAATATTGGCCGATGCTATAAAAAAAAGGTTCTCCATATATCCAGATGTGCCTTGCATGAGAACAGTTGTATTCAAACTGGGATTCCATTTGAACTAAATGGTACATATGACCAGTACCATAATAACTTTATGTGTTGATTTATGTATCTACATTTAGTCCATATGAAAACTATCATCTCTTAATTAACAAAATTAACCTGTTTTGAGGAAAATCATGTGCAGCCTTCTTACCTCCAACACCTCCTTCAGTGTGTTGTCAACCGCCTTCAGATCAACAGATGTGTCATGATGCATTGCAGACATGTGTGGAGTCCTGTATCAATAATGCAAGCATCAAAGAAAGGAAAGATTTCGAGATGATGATAAACATTCTATCTAAATGCTGCACCGCCTGCACACACACAAACATATATATACATCACTGCTGTTATATACAGAGTATATATATGTGTGTGTGCATGTATGTGCGGCATGAGAAGAGTCATGGATTGATTGATGAATAGGGAATACCTTATAATAAATGGCATCCTCAACTTTGGTGGGACAGTATCACCAAAAAAGTCAGCTTCTTCAGCCATCCTACACAACACTCTACGCACAATCTCTCCGAGATACATGCCAGAAATGAGCTTCTCATATATCTGCGCATATATGAGAACACGAACACATATACAGATATACTCCCTCCATCCAAAACTAATTGCAATTTTACTTTTCATAGTATTTTATTCTTTAATTGCGTATATTTTTTTATCATATCCGAACAAATGTATAAGTGTAACTATTGATACTGATTTAAATATTAGCAAGAAAGATTTAGCTTAATGTATTGTTAATCAAGCTTAAACAAACAAATTGAAAAATCTCTTCCAATTCCAAATGAAGGAAAGTAATACTTTGTAATATTATATATATATACATATATATCAATGAACAAAAGGAAGGGGCAATGCGGAAGTAATCACATGGAGTATTAACTATTTAACTATAACCTGCTCTCCCGGATTTAGACTCTCAGAATCAAGACATTGATCATAATATGAAAGAGGAAGATGTGAAGATTGGAAATTTCCCCATTCCATGTTGATAACCTTCAAATAAAAAAAATAAAAGTCAACAGCCCAAACCAGGAAAATCAAAAGCTGACAAAACCAAGGGGGTAGAAAGGAATTTATCATATATGCAAAGCTGGCATCTTGAATTGGGCCTAGCTAGCTAGAGGAGCAGAGAATGCATGCTTCATTACCTACCATATTTCCCGACTTAGGCTGTAAACCCTGCCACTTTGGTATTGTGTTTGCCCGTTCAACATATGCAGCATTGGTTCCTGTACCTAATATGACTGCAGCTATGGCATCAGGGTTACTATATCGACATCCTGCTAATGTTCCCACCGTATCATTTATCTGCGCATGCATCGATCAAACTTCTCCAGTTAACAAGTACTTTCTTTCATTCATACATGCTGATGTATGTACCAGAGAGCTTCAATTCCACACAAACAAACAAATCATGGACAAATCAGGAATTTGCTGTATCATGCGTACCAAAGCAGCCACCCGGATATCAAGGCCAGCTCTTTCAATGGCTTTTCTCAACTCTTGTACGACATCTTGTCCAACCTGAAACAAAAGTTACATACTGGCTCACTGTATTAATAGCATACGGGATGAGGAAATGACGCTAAGACAAAAACAAAACAAAAATGCACCCCTGATAGAGTGGGCAGGCTAGGGGTTAAATTAATTAAGCTATATATAATCACAATCTTTCTTGTAATACAGGGTGGGATCTGAGAGAGCAAGGTAAACCCGAACCCGAATTGAGCTAGCTAGCTAGGCTTACTGCTGATAACGAAAATCTATCTCAGAGTGACGAACAAACCGTTTCTTGTATGGAGAAACCCTTTGTCCATTTGATAAGAGTTCCGGATGCTATGGAGGTTTGAGTGACAGGGAAGGAGAAGGTGAAACCCAATTCCCTTTGCCTTCCGGGCGGAGGATGAGGTTCTTGTTGGAGAAAGTTTGCGAGCGCGGTGGCGATAAAATCAAACAGCCCACGAGACGATCCGGACATCAAATGCGGTGGAATCGGGACCTCTTCAGACTCTCGACTCACGACCCCTTTCTCTTTTCCTCCCAACTCTACTCGCATCACACGGAAGTTTGTGCCGCCCAGGTCCAACGCATAAAACACCCCCTTTTCATCCCTGAAAACCATTTCATATCCCAATCATTTCTGCCAAAAACCAACACCCTACAGCCTGCTGCGAGAATCACTATTGAGTAAAGGGTCAGTTGTGTCATACAGAAGATTTGTCAGTTGAGGCGGTTCCCCGTGGAATTTTTTGATAAAATTTTTTTATCATCATATTCATTAAGTCTAGTTTACTCATACTAAATTTCAGCTAAAATTTGAATCGGGAAGGCATTCAAATGAATTCTAGAAGATAACTGCGCTTTTAACTGCACAGTTATCTTCAAGAATTCATTTGAATGACTTCCCGATTGAATTTTTATCGGGAATATTGTATGAGTGAACTAGACTTAATGAATAAGATGCTCAAAAAATTTCATCAAAAAATTCCATCGGGAACCACCCCAAATGGCGACGGTCGAATATAATCTCCTATATAAGGACTTATTTGACTCCTTTTATGCAACTTCGAGGACCAAACTGACCTTTTACTCAATCACTATTGTATTGTGCGAAATTGAATGTGTAATTCAGGAGTAAAGGATAAGATTGGTACTCGAAATTGCATACTGTCTGGACGTCGCCATTTGGGGCGGTTCCCGGTGGAATTTTTTGATGAAATTTTTTGAGTATCTTATTCATTACGTCTAGTTTACTCGTACCAAATTTCAGCTAAAACTTCAATCGGGAAGGCATTCAAATAAATTCTTGAAGATAATTGTGCTTAACTGCGCAGTTATCTTCAAGAATTCATTTGGATGCCTTCCCGATTGAAGTTTTAGCTGAAATTTGGTATGAGTAAACTAGACTTAATGAATAAGATGTTCAAAAAAAATTCATCAAAAAATTCCACCGGGAACCGCCCCAAATGACGACAGCCGGACATAGTCTCCTATATAAGGACTTATTTGACCCTTTTTATACAATTTCGAGGACCAATCTGACCCTTAACTCTGTAATTTAGCCACCACACCAACTTGATATCAGATACTCCGTAAGAATTACTCCGTATATTCCACCCGATGAAGTTCACAATTTCTCTTTAATTAATGATATTCAAAATCGACGTTTGGCCACAAATATTTAAGAATAATAATTAAAAAAATCTATAATACATTACTATTTAAATGATATTAAAAGAATTATTTTTTGCTATAAAGTACGCAATAGTATTTTTTTAGCCGGCTTGGTGTTCAGTTCTTTGTTTTTTAAGTAAAAGAAAACTCATGAAAGAATTACATCATCTGACCATCTGTACCCAAACCTAATGTCTTATAATGTTGGGGTCAACTAACTGTCTGGTCGGTGTTGGGGCCCTCAGGGATGTGGTGTCGTCCTTTTTTATAATATTGGCGTAAAACAATGGAAAAGCATAAAAACAGGGATAAAGTGTCGAATTTCTTGCATTCTTTTCTAATACGAATATGAATTTTTAACCGGAAAGAAGATGACCGGATAGATTGGTGAAGAAGAAGATGAACGAATCGGGCAGTGAAGAAGTGGAGTATCTGCAATTTTTTTAATACAAAACCAAATAGATAGGTACACAATGCTCATGATGTAACCATAATTTGTGATATTTCTAAAACCTAGAAAAACTTATTAATAATGCACTACTTCTTCCGTCTAATAAAACTTTGTCATGTTTAATTTTTTTTTCAATAATATTCCACTTTAAGCAATTTTATATTTTTATAGAAAATTGTTTTATAATATAAATTGTTAAAAGTACTTTCATACGAAAGAATATACGGAGTAAAATTTATATCTTTTATAATATTATACGTAATACAGATCAAAAACATTATCCAAACTCTCTGAGTATATATTAAGTTGAAAAAGTCAAACATGATGAAGTTTGAAAAGAGTAAACTCTAATCCTTATCCTGACCCCAAATTCGTATTTTGATACGTGCTTTTACGATATTTGACTGAAATTATTTTTTTTTTAAAAAAAAGCAAAACACTTGGTCGGCAATTAAAAACATGTACTATCGTACTGGAAAAATTGAAATTAATAATCCAACTATTGACGGTCCGCTAATAATAATCCCAACTATTGATTATTTTTGTATAATCCCAACTATATGGACAGTCCGCCAAAAATGGTCCATGACCAAATATTACACCCTCAAAAAGTGAATTTTAAATAGAAATCAAGTTTAAAAATTAAAAGTTAGGATTACTTATAGGGATTACTTGTTATATCTCTCCTCATCCACTTTAGAAACAACAAAAATTTATTTAAAGGGACCATTATTGGCGGAAGGTCTCTAAAGTTGGGATTATTCTGAAATAATCGATAGTTGGGATTATTATAAGCGGACCGACCATAGTTGGGATTATTACTATCAATTTTTCCTATAAATATATACTACGTATATATATACTGACCCGGTGGGGAGGTTGTCAACGAAGGTAATAAGCATCTTGAGTTTGGTAGCGCCATGAGAGGCAAGGCCGGCGTGCATCTCGGCGGTCATGGCATCTGCAACTTGCCGGAGCTTTCCGGTCGGTGTCCCGCACTTCTCCCGCACCTCTTCCAGTAAAGCCATGGTCTTGGCCCACCGCCCGGAACTCCTCTTTATCCGGTGCCTCACCACCATCACCGCCGCCAAGCACACCACTCCGGCCGCCACCGCCACTTTGCACATACTATTTCGATCGATCCCTGCGCGCGCGCTTCAGTTTATGTGCGCTAGCCTTTGTAATATAATTAATAAGGAGCACAATTTTTTTTTGCATAAGAGGAATCAACGGAACTCTGGAAAAGACTTGGGGCGAAGTTATATATAGTTGGGACCTGATCGAATTTTATAGGTAGAGAGAGGGACTAGAAGACTAGATTCCGGAAGAATGATGTTAGTTCATTCCGCTTTATATAACCGCGACATACTATATATAACAAGCAAGCAATAACTTCTAATCTAATTCTACACTCTAGTAGTAGTTTAAGATGAGGACGAACAGTCGCAACTTGGATAATGGGCATAAAACATAAGCTAAATATATTAATAATAACGGAGAAGATCAGGTCCAGCCCTCCCCTGTCCAGCCGCCGTCCGAACTCCGCCGTTTGGGGCAGTTCCTGGTGGAACTTTTTGATAGAAATTTTTTGAACATGTTCTTTATCAAGTCTAGTTTGTCCATACCAAATTTCAGCTCAAAATTCGATCGGGAAGGTATTCAAATTATTTTTTGAAGTTGCCTGCGTTTTTATAGGTATATTTTGGCGCAATCAACTTCAAAAAATGATTTGAATGTCTTCCCGGTCGAATTTTGAGCTGAAATTTGGTATGGACAAACTAGACTTAGGAACATGCTCAAAAAAATTCATCAAAAAATTCCACCGGGAACCGCCCCAAAGGGCGGAGTTCGGACGGCGCCTCCCGTCCCTCCGGCTGGACCTGATCAGTTCTCTTAATAATAATAAAAGAGTTAAAAAAAGGTAGAGTTATTGTTTTAAATTCCCTAAATAGGAAAAGTTATTTAAAAGTTATTTAAGTTCAGTCATTCAGATAAAAATACCCTACAAATGTTTGGTCAGTCACCGGCCTTCTACAGCCACCTGCTGGCGCCAATCGTTGAAGCTCTCATCTGCCCATCGCCACAAATCAGCCACTGTCGGAAGCCGTCCTCATCATCAAGAGACTAATATTGGTTATGCAATAGAAATAGGGGACAATTGATTATATTATGAGTAAAATGGTAATGTTTAGTTCTTTTTTTTTTTGAAAGGGAATAGCTTATATTATAAAAACCAATACAATCAACATCTCAACACCCATAAACAGCCAAGCCTGAGACTCCGCGTAACCAAACAACGCTCTCACTCTCTGACTAAACACATAATATCACGCCCAGTTACGTACGAGACTAATCGCTAACCATGTGAGAGCTTCGAAACTTTAGCCAACCACGCTAGTTTTATCGCTTCCACCCCTAAATTAAGTACTTGAAACAAAACCAAAAACCACCTACCGCTAGTGTCAACAAAAATAAAAAAGCAATAGTTATGGAAATAAATTAAATAAAAGCAACAAAAGTAGATTGACTCAAGCTCTCTCGTTCCCCTTCTCCCCTCCTGCTGGACTCGGACGGGATTTAGTGGCGTAATAGGCGAGCCACAAAGTTGCAGCTCGCCCCCTTTCCGTTTTTTGTTTTGGACTGATCCATCTCCACCTCCTTGCCATAAAAGTTATCTTATGCCTCTTCAGTCCTCCTTCACCCGCAATTTTTACATTATTTGTATTGCATATTAAGTTTAAAGTGTTGCATATTATTGAGTTTGTAGGTTAGTAAATTAAGCATGGTTTGTAATTGATAGAGTTTATATAATCACCAACAGCTATGTCATGACGTGTGTAAAACAACAAACAAATTGGAAGTGAAATTTTTGCATACATATCTTTCACGAACAAAGACGATAAATTACCTTATCAGCAATTCTTTCAAGGACACAGATAAATTCCAAATAGAAGTTTTAGTCCTAATGTGGAGGGAAGAGCGTTTGGTTCAAAATATTAGCAAAATGTGTCATATCTACTTTGAACTGAAATACGAGTTTGGATGATACAACACACACAATGTAGTATTCTCTTCCCCTCCCTCTACTTGTTTTTCTTTGATTGCTTAAAATCATGACATTACAAACCAAGTTCCACACGAGTGGGAAGTACAGGTACCAGAAAATTGCCAAACGGAGAATCAAATATTCTAAAATTGGCAGTGCAACCATCTTGTTGTGCCTGTGCTACTGCCAAGTTCCTGGCCTGTTGTATCTTGACATTGGTACCACTTGGTTGTCCCACATTAACCTGCATCCAACAAGCTTGCATTTACAAAAGGAAACCACGTTTAGGCTAAGTTTATGGAGTACTCTTCTTCTTTTAAAGTCTTCGTATTTCAAATATGCTTTTTAAGGGCTTTTTCCTTGAATATTACTAAATAGAAGCCGATTCCCAAAAATGTGACCATTTTTTCAAAAGGACAAAAAAGTGCCTAAGAAGGTCATATATTAGCAAAAACATGATGTCACTGTCAAATTTTTATGTCACGGCCATTTTTCTATGAAATAATTACATATTTATGACTAAAATCGAGGACTGTTTACAAAAATGTGATTAGTGACTAGAGTAGTAATGAAATAATAGTAATTTATGTTCAATTTTAAACTGAAGTTACCATGATACTGCGTCACCTTTTTAAAACCCTTTTTCTACGTAGTAACTGATAGTCATATTTTTGTAAATAAGTTTTATTTTAGTAATATTTTTGTAAAAAAACCCTTTTTCTATGTCACTATCAATTCTTTACGTTACCTTTTTATTGTCACTATCAGTTTTCGTGTCACTTTCAAATGTCACTGCCGCTCTAAAACGTGTCACTGTGATCGCCGGATAATTTTCCGGTGACTTTTTCCGGTAAAACAATAACCTCCACGCCTAGCCATTGACCATCCAACACTGCCGACACCGTCATCCTACCACCACGGAAGTCTCCCGCCCATTGCCCCTGCTCCTTCCCACGCCCCAGCACCCCATAGCCAAGCCCCTGCCCCCAACCTGCCCCCAGCCATCCTAGCCATCAGTCTACCTGTCAATCTCCTCCTCCGCCGCCGCCGCCGCCCCACCCCGACCCCCCAGCCCCACTCTGCAGCACCTCCACTCTTCGCCTGCGAACCGGACCCCTTTCCAAGCCCTAGCCACCCCTCCAACCACCCAGCCGATGCGCCCCAACCCCAAAATCCAAGTAGCCGAACAAAATTAACCTCACAATCGCACCACCACAGTAGATCTGAACCCTAGCAATCGATCTGAAACTGCAGCCATCGAAAATGGACGTAGGCTCCATGGACAGTGGAGCCGACAGGCGAGCAGAGCCGGTGAGCAGAGGTGGTTCGCGGAGAAGAAGAAAGGGGAAGGAGTTGCAGCGGCGAAGAATCGATGCAGAAGAAGGAAGAGGGCAGGTCTCCATCTTCATCGCAGGGCCTGGTAGCATCTTCATCTCAGGGGCTGGTCTCCATCTACGTCGCAGAGGCTGGTCTCCATCTTCATCGCAGGGCCTGGTCGCATCTTCATCTCAGGCGTCAAATCCCCAATTGTCGAAGAAGGTAAAGTAGCGTAGAAGTCTAGAAGAGGGGGCTGGCGTGCGAAACTTTTATTTAAAAGTGGTCACTTTTCTGTCAAATTTAAAAGTTGTCATATTTTTGTCTAATGAAAGTTGGAAGGTAATATTTGTGCCATTTTTTCTATTCTTTTTGCACCCAAATATAAAACTATAATACATTACACATTACTATTACATAAAGTTACATAATTTATTTTGTAATCTGTAGCACCTGAAAACCGTAACAAGCCAGTTTAAAAATCAGATCAACAGAAACCTCATATTAGTTCAAAAGATGCATACTGTTGGTTTATAATCCTTGGATGTTGAAACTGTGTACTTCTCTGATGAAAAGGATATAGGCCTGCACAAAATAGGCAATAAGATAAATCCCGGAAAACAGTAAGTTCACAGTGCTACATACATAGATCCATTCGTGTTAAAACAGTAAGTTCACAGTGCTAGATACATACACTATCAAGTTGATGGGAGAACCATGTTAGAACTGCTGCTATGTCTCAGGATAAGCAAAGCATCAAATATTTGATTACATTCCTATGTTTCGTCATAAGGGAAGCTATGAACATTTTATTAGGCCACAGCTAGTTTCTAATGGGTTAAGGTATTGCACTCCTCATATTATTATTCATTAAGTAAATAAATAATTCTTTTTCTTATTTTCTTTATTCTTTCAAAGAAAAATTCAGACCACGCCAAAAACAACTAGACGAAACTAGACCATACCAAAATAGACAAAAAAGAATGACCCAAGCATATCAAATCACATTTTTCCCAGATCGGATTTTTTAAAATTCAGATCAGATCACACTTTTTGAGGTGTGGAGAGCAGGTCAAATGTCAGACTCCAGAATCACATTGCCTTCTTTCATTACCAACTACCGTGCAAAAAGACTAGAACAGTATATGATGGGGAATTATAATTTGTCTAGTGGAGCTCAATTTATTTATGCATTTCTAACCTCGCGTGCTTGGTAGTACAAATAGTTTCGCTTTTAATTGGATAAATATATATATATATATACATATATATATATACACACACAAACATACATACATATATAGAAAGATGAATAAAAAAGCAGAGATTTTGGTAGATAGCCGCCTCACCATCCAAATCAAATTCCATCAAATTAGGATACTGATCAAATGATGTGCAGCATTTAAAATTCACAAAGAAGTAGCATCCCTGAACATGTGCCAATGATTTAGTGCATTTGAATATGTATTCATGTTAATTAGTACACCACCAATATACATATAATGTATTATCGCCACAGATCAAATGTCATTTATCAATATGATTGTAATTCACTCTGTCCATTGCCAATCATATCATTAAACTCTACAGAACCTAACTTAGATATTATTAAGGATCAAAGTCAAACACTTCAGGCTGCTAGAAATCATGCCATAAACTTCAGGCGGCCAGCTGCAGTTACCGTTATGAATCATCTAAGCTATGCCCAGGGCCTGGACCTGTATTTTGAATATTAATTTTATATCTCACTGTGCTAAACTACACAGTACACACCTCTATGGTATACTTTCTCCGTCCAACATTTATCATCACTTAGACTCTACAAACCCTAAGAAAGAGTCACATTCGTCAAGGTACACCTTCAAATTGTGGTTAGGTAAAGAGTAAAAACCTTAAAATTTACAGAATCTTACTTATATCTTTTTGATATATTTGTTTAACTACAACAATAATATTCAACTTGTTTGTAATCTTATTTAACAAATCACATTCTCCATCTGCTCCCAAAAAAAATCATGTCTGCACACTTTTTTTGTTCCCAAGCAAAAGTCCATTTTTATGATTTTATCAAATGAAAGCTATTA